TGTTTTTTTTCATAATTTTATTTTCCATGTTATTTTATTATTTGCTATTTATAAAAGGTACATAATATGTATACCTATATGTCATAAATAATACAAAATACATAGAGTCATAGACAAATGTTTTAAAATATAAAATTTATAGACAAAATTGAATGACTTCAAAACAGTAATATTATATTATATTATATTATATATCCTATAGACAATAGGGTTAAGACTTTAGACTCAAGTTTGTATCAAAAAATCTTACCTTCTGTATAATTTGGTGCATGTTTGTGATATATTCTCCATAGTTCTATAATAGGTGGAACAATTTTATATTGCATCATGACGAATAAAACTAACCAAATTAGTGAGTAGCTAGAAAAATCATCACTTAACAAATTGAAAGAAACATGTTTAACTGCGATTACTACCCAACGCACTCTTTCATCAATGGATAAATATAATCTAATAAAAAAAATGTATTCATTATTATTTACCTGTAGATATATTATTATTCGGTAAAATTTAATCAAAAATAATAAATTTAAAGTCGAAATTCAAATATTTTTCATATTCTGAGCGGAGCTCCCATAGAAACCTATTGATTTTTGATATTTTCCCAAGAACAAAGATAACTATTACCTATATAATATTATTTATAATTTATCGAAACCTCAATCAACTCAAACAATTAGGTATTTCAATACATAGGCCCTATGTACTTGAAGCACTTAAAGCCTTCAACATTTTTGTCATACAAGTTTATATTAAGTACTGGTATAGTGGTATACTGCTTATAGTGGAGAACTATAGCTCCTTATAACGATCTCAATCTTTTAAAGGAACTCGACAACTATAAAAAATCAAATAAAGTTATAGGCGACGCGACTGCCAAAACCTACTCAAGACATTTATGGTACTTAAGTGAGACACTTATTGGATTAGCCTTTTTTTACAGCAAAGTGACATCTGATATGAAAGTTAATATGGTTAAATCATTGGAGAAAAAAGGAGCTGACTTTCTTTTACGGCGTGGCGTATTACAGTTGAGACGACTGCAGTTCAAACAGTACAATTGTCAGATTTTGTATCTAAAAATACCCTCAAGTTATTTACAGCCTTGGATATCCCCCAAGATTTTTTAAATCAGAATCCAGATACTTGGGAAAATAACAAAGATTTCGTTGACGGTTGTAAAAGGGCTAAAAATCTGAAAGTAGTAAATGATGCAGCTGAACGTGGGATTTCGTTGATTCAAACTTTCAATGGGATAATCACCAATCAAGAAGCACAAAAGCAGTATCTTTTGCAAGTATAGTTGAACAACACCGACAGAAGTATCCAAATCTAAATAAATCTACAATCGATGATTGACAGTTTGTGTGATGATTATTTTTTGTACAATTATGATGATCTATGACTTTTTATATTATTTTTAATTACTAAATATATTTTTTTTTATTATTGATACACTGAAATATCTATTATATTTTTAAAACAAGTGGCGCAACCAGTAAAAATTGAAATTTTTTCTTGAAATTTTTTATGAACCTTGTTATTAGATTGATAAACAATTTTAGCTAGTGGGACTTTCAGAATTAAATTTTTTTTTTTTTATTGTCACCCTAACAAAGGGTAATATAATATTGATCTGAATTTGTCATAAGTATACTTGATAAGTTCCGAGTTAAGCACAGCAATACCACTCCTGAATTGCAAATCACATTTAAAATTTGTGGAATCATGTGTAAAGCGTACGATTGGTATTCGCGTTTCTGTAATAATTTCCAACCCAACAAATTCTTTTTTCGCGGCTTTAACAAATAAATCAATAAGTTGTAGTTGTCGTGTGTAATCGTCCGCAATTTTTCCTGAAAAACAATCACCTAAGACACCAAAAAACAAAATGAATATTTACTTCAGTCTCAAGTATTATATTAAACGACTATAATAAG